ATATCACGTGATATTTTCGTTTTTTGATTGGCTAATCGGACCAGAGATATATAAGTTATATATCTCCAGCCAGAGATGCCTATAATTACCCATATAATAATACATATTATATATTTAATAAATTCAGTTTCTGATATTCATTTCAATACATTTTACATTGTATTTTACATCAAATTTTAAATTTAGCCAAAATTATGAATAAATCTCAATTCTGTCCAAGACACGTGATTTATTATGTGTAACACGTGATTTCACTAACTGCCAAATTTCAGGCAATCTATATAAAGTGTGTTAATTTATTTAAAGTTATTAAATAACACAAAGTTTATTAAAAAACAAATATTTATAGTTAATATTCTATTCATTTAAAATCTAACTATTTTTTTTTCTGATTATAGAATTCTCGCACTATATCCTATAAGAAATTAATTCTTGAGAAAAGTAACAAAAAAACAATTCTTATAAATAAATGAGAATCCAGGATTGAAAAAATCAGAACTTCGAGTAACAAATATTTCTATGCGCAAAAACACGATTGTGATTGATGAAAATCCGAAAGAACGAATAAAAAATGAACTCACTATACATGTGAGCTACAGAAACAGAACAAATCTAATAAAATACAAACAGAAATTAATGAAACACAGAATAATATAGCATAAATAAAAAAGCTTAGCAAGAACAGAAATTTTAATTCAATAAAAGATATAAATCATAGAACCTAAATTATCGAACTTAAGTTAGCGAACTTAAAATTATATAATAAGAATTTGAACCACAAAATTTTAGAAATATTTTTTGTTATTACGTATCTTGGCTATAAGAACGACATATGTAACGAACTACATGCGCAACGTGCGTATGTGCTTACGATTCGGGCGCTACGCTTGAAGAAACTTCGTCTTGTTGATCCTCCAAGTGTTGATCGACCTGTAACATTTCATTATCATTATCGTTATCGTTATCAATTGTCGAGGGGTTAGGTAAATCAGGTGTGAACTCGATCTCGATTATTGGAATATCAGAATCAAAACTGCGATGTGAATCAAGCAAGACGTTTTTTTCATTTAATATAGGAAAATAGGATCCGTCAACGAAATCGGACCAAATGTCGGCAGATTCGTTATGTTGTTCCATTAGGTACAATTCATCAAGCCGAGTAATAGTCTCATTGCCTGAGTAAAAATATCGTAATGTATTATTGTTATTTGAGTTCATTTTTAAGATTTTTTTGGAGTTTTCAGCTATTTTTCTTACAAACTTGAGGTTCTTTTATAACAAAAATCAAGTTAGTTGTTATTTATTTATGTTAATAATAAGATTAATCTATTTTCTTGCATTATCAATAAAATCATTGTTCTTAGTTTATTGAAAGACTAATATATTTTAACAAGTTTTTCTATACATGTTACGAATTGTTGCAATTCACAACATCATTTGTTATCAACCTCAAGGTACAAATTCTCAAATATTTTTCTATGTTAACTCTCATTAAACCGGTATTGTACCAAGCCAATTTGTCTGTCATAAAATATATCGATGTATAAACGAACATATAAAGTAATTCAAAAGTGTTGATAACAAATTATGTCATAAAATATCGATGTAGATACAACGATCCTTTAGGGAACAACTAATTAATATTATAAAGCAAATAAAGGGTGTTGTTGATTCCATGATGGCGTGAGAATCGATAAATATTTGAAATTTCGAGTAATATTAAACTTTTGAATGTCCTCAACACGAGAATCTACAGAAGTAATTTAGTTACTATAGGCAATATCAATTGTAATGATTTATTCCATTGTATTAATAATGGTCGCGGTATCAGACGTCATTTACGTAATCAATCTCAAAGTTCCTGATTTATAGAACACATCACTTTATGCAAATAACTTCATTATAATATGCGCCTGTGTTTCCGACGATTTATATATTGGATATTTTGCAATTCGACAAGCTGCGTCGTATTATCGTAATTGTAAAATTGAATAATTTTTAATTAATTTTTTTTATCAAACAAGCAAATCTCATTGATCCAAAAAGGCAGGATGAATGAATGGGAAACAAGTTTGATTACATGTATACCATCTATTGTTTTGCAGATGCATAATTTTTGCGCCTTGCAGATACTGTACACATGTCAATACCTGTCGCTATCGCTAGAGCAACTCGATAGAAACAGGTTTTGTTTGAAAAAGTAACGATCATATAAATAAATTACTTAGAGCGGATCACATCGGGTTTTGTTTGAAAAGTAGAGTAGATAAATTATTTTCGATAAACAGGTTTTGTTTGAAAAAGTAAAGTAGATAAATTATTTTCGTTACATATGTTGAGATCAATCAACTCGATAGAAACAGGTTTTGTTTGAAAAAGTAAAGTAAATGAGAAAAGAAAAAACGTAACGGTAATAATAAATGGAACAATTCTAATATGTTAATACATATGCAAATGTATTAAGCCGAAGCTAAATATTTATTAGACATTCCAAAAATAATCAAGCTTAATATTAAATACTCATATGATTGTTATAATGTTAGACTGTAAAATATAATTGTCAATAAACACTCTATGAAGACATTGTTGAAGTTGCTATTTAGGTCCACTACATCTTTTAGCTTGGTCATTTCTGCTATATTCAAATTGATATCAACATTTATTATACACTTTTATTATCTTAGCTAACAATCCATTTTATGACTGAGTTTAGCTACTTTGGCCTAACAAATATTCACTTAATTATTCAAATTTTAGTAATCAGTGTAATTAGATTATAATTATGTATTATGTATACAATTTATTTTTTTACTTGATGTTGTATCCAGGTCTTGTACAATATACATAACAAATAATACCCGGATCTTATTTTGGGGGTTGATGTGCTATTAGCTTTCAAAAATTGTTAATTTTATTTTTATATACGTAGTCTTTAAGTGTCGTGACTCCGAAAAAAAAATATAAAATAATACAATATAATACAATACTTTACCAAAATACATGTATATGTATATAGATTTCCAATCTCTCACTATGGAAATTGTGCTACATATATATTTCTAAATTAAGTAGTTTTTGAATGAAGTAAAAAAAAATAAAAGAGTATCTTTTATTATTGTCGGTGCTGTTGTTAACATTCAAAAACCGCAATTATCACAATTATCGCTTTCACTTTCGGAAACTAGTTGCGAACATTGCGTATCAAAATGAATAATTTATTGGATGAGATATTGATCGAACTTTTCAAACATGATCAATATCCTATTTCGTTAGCTTTAACTTCTTGTCACTAGGCTAGAATTGCAGCAGACCCTCACGCAAAAGCTTCATGATTACGGCAAAGCACACGCATTATTTCATGCGGTTAGACTGGATCTGACATTTATAAATGTCGCCGTGGTTCAGACTTATTTTATCATAACATTATCTTATCAAGCTACTTGTGCAACGCCTATTAATGTATTTTGGTAAATATGATGAAGAACTAATAAACCAAAAAATCGAACATAACGTAGGTCAGCTTGATAACGACCGACTCGGCGCATTTCAAAAAAATCTGATGTCTCTGGCGAGCCAATTACCCCCTCGATGTTTTTACGTGTCTTCTCTCCGAAGGGTATCAACGGATCAAACACAGCTTCTAAAGGAAATGATATGGAATTGTTTCACTTCTTATCGGCGGGTCCTTGCGTCCTCAACCACGCGCCAGATAAATTGAGGCAAAAGCTCGAAGAACTTGTATGCGAATATCATTTCGTACCATTCCACCGAGACCGAAACCGAAATGCAATGACCAAGCTGTTAAACAAAGACAGGTTAATTCCGCCGTCCATGAAGAATATCCGCCAAAAGAAGGTTATGATAATGTTAGACAGCTTAACGTACTCGCGCGTGCAATATTGATCCATCCTCCTCTTGTTGGAATATGGAAACGTGATACCTCGAGATTTTTGAAGAACTAGTGATGCAGGGAGCGCTCCTTATCTTGCTTCTACTGCAGATTGGGAGAAACTAAATTCAGAAAAGATTGAGGGAATTGAAAGAGCTTGGTTTCAAATTTTCAGATTCTGTTATTGGAGACGCATTATTTTTATTCGAACATCGACTTACGCATCTTTTTAAATACTTCTATAAATATAACGGTAACCAGTCAATCAACGAGCTAATTCAAAAATGTCTAATTGAAGTAATCAAACCAGAAAGAATCTTAACAAATAATATCTTGCTCAACTTTTTATATAATTTTTTGAAGCCAAAAGAATTCTCTAAGGCGTTCGCCGATGTATTAATTTAGCATAATATTGGATCGAACCTTATTTCAACGCTTCAGAGTATGAAACACAAAATAATGATCAACAAGGACAAAGATTATTATTATGAACAAGCATTCGAGTGTTATTGAAATCAGCACCCCCCCCGAAGGTTATGGCGTACGTTAAATTATAGCGAATTATAACTCTTACAAAATGGTCCCGAATGAGATCCGAATAAAAACTCGAGAACTTCACTCTGCGGTGTTTTTCCTTATTCCGATATGTAGCACAACACACAATTAATAGATGAACAATTTAAGAAATTTTGACATGACTGCTGAACTACTTTATTCGTTAGTGGAAAAGCATATATCTCATTAATTTAACAATAAAAAGATGCACTTCCAAGTTAGATTCTTGATAACATACGCGGCTATATAAGTTGCCAAAAAGATATAAATTCATCGATATTTTTTAATTGTCCTTTTTTTACATTTTATCAAATTTATTTGTAAAAGCATGAATAATTTTGCGAATTTACTTCAAATGTCTCCACCGAGAGTACTCGTCCCTCGCGCACGACAAAATCAACGTCAATTGCAAAATCAACATCAATTGTCAAACCAGCCTCTCTTGTCAAACCAACCTCTCCTGCAAAACCATCAACAGCTACCAGGTAATCCGTACACGGTTCAAATGTTGCAAGGTACATCAGATATCTTGAACGTCAACTCTAATTCAACAAACACAACGACAATAATACCTTTGCTGCACTGATGGATTCGTATTCTGTCAGTGCATGACTCATCATTATTAAATGAATTCACGTACATCCGTCGAATTTTATGCAACTGTATTTATGTCTTCATCTTATTAACGTTAAGCTTTTTTATTAGTTTGTTTTCATATATAAATCACCGAATAACGTGTTCGCTCAAAGCATTTCTTTTAAATATTGATTCGAAATATTCTTTGTTGCAATACCTCTTTCCATCTTATTTTCTATTTAATTTGCATTATACAATCAGTTAAATTAAAGCGTTTAAATCTTCTATAAGTATAGTATAGCTTTTACATCATTTTTCTCTTGTAAATGTAAATTAGATAAAAAATAATAAACGATTTTTTTAATGCTTTTATTCTACTTATAAAAATTAATGTTTAAAATCCGATTTTTTATAAATATCGTAATTTGCCGCATAAACCACTAATTAAATTCAGAATCATCAGATAACTATAGTCCTATGGATTCGAAAAAAAAAGTCTGGTTTGAGTTTGGTTCCTGATTTGAACCTGTACAGTAATTCTGGTTAGATATATGCGGCGAAAATTCAATATTTCTCTGCATTGGTGATATCAAATACAGTTTAATTAGTACAGGATATTTTTATCATAAAAAATTAAAAATAGAATCTTTGAATAGAAGAACCCTTGTTATTTGTGCAAAGAATAAAATGCAAAAATTTTAGTAGCTTTACCAAATGTACCATATTTCACCGCTCCTCCTGTAGAAAATTTAAACCAAAATTTAACTCAAAGCTATTACTTTTTTGAAGAAATTGCCCGTAAACTATTTATTTTATTAAAAAGAAAGAAAATAAAGTTAAATTTCTACAGGGTACTCTATGCGGTGAAATACATGTACGGTACTTGAATGAATGTACGTACGGTAAATTTTAAAATCATCATTTTATGATCATCAAAATCAACAAATGTAACATACATGTACGTACGTATATCTTTATTGTATTTTACCATTTTCAACAAAAATTTCGTAATTCCTTAATTTTTACATTATCATAAATTATACATGTAATTTAATCCAATGATTCATTTTTTTCCCACAAAAATTTGGTTAATCATTTTTGATAAGAGACTATCAACCACTTTTCTCGAACCAAATTTCAAATTTCCTAATTTGGGTTTTACCCCTGATATAAGCCACAAGCCATAGATTGATTCCTA